GCATATTTCTAAATAATTATAGCATGAACAAGATAGTAAAGAACTGAAATTGAAGGTAATTAGTACTTTTCGTACAAAATATACAGATATACTGTAAATAATAGAGGTGCATGTACAAATCCGATCAGATTCGTTTGGATTTCGGAACAAAAATATTCATTTCGGATTGATAAAGTTGTTTCGCAGTCGAATAGTCGGATCGGACTTCGATATTCGAAATAAAATGAATTAATTATATATAATAATTATTTTGCTTTAATTATAACGGTCCGCGTGTTCGTGTCACATAAACAAATAATTGCGCAAGCATGCAGAATTTTTACTAAATGCGCAAGACAAAAAATACTAAAATATTAAAAACAAACAATAAAAACATTTAACTATTTACACATAAGACAAACACAACAAACAAGATTAACAAATTAATATTAAGCAAAAAGCTTAGAACGTATCGAGTCGGACTGAGTGTTCAAAGATGGTTTCAGTTCCCTAATGTAAAGCATCTCGTAGGGAAGGCACTCATACTTCCCTCGACACTTGCGCAGAATCGAAAAGCAGTTTTCAATCCTTGATGAGCTTTCTCCATGATTATCACGCATGTGGACTGCTACCATTGATCCCCTGTGTTCATCAGTACGTTGATGTAGGTGTCGACAAGTATAGCCAACATAATCTGCATCGCACAGATCACATTTAAATTTGACAATGTAAACAACGCATTGATGATTCAGAAGGGGCGGCTTCAGTTCCTGTACTTTAACATCATCGCGAACCTTTCTGCTTGTGAAAACCGGTCGTAGAGCTTTCCCTATCAACGATCCAAGACCCGTGAGTTGTCTTCGCACAATATCGGCCGATTTTTTATCTTTAAACGGCAAGATAAGGCACACCGCGTTTTCTTGCTGTTTCGTTGATGTTTCCTTCACTTCCTCGTCCTGCTTGTCGACAAACCCCGATATTACCGAATCAACAAGTCCAAGTGGATATTTCAGGTGGACGAAAATGTTCTTCAAACGCTCACATTCCTCGACAAATAATAATTATTATTATTATACATTTAATATGTATTCTCGTTTCTAATTGGTCAGAAAGCACCGGCTAATTTTCAGTATTCGGCATTTATTACGTATTTTTCGCCGATGACGTCATCAGCGTCCAATAATTGTTTTTTTGGATCGAACTTGCATCCAAAAAA